GGTGTGGAAAATAACATCTGTGACAAAAAATCAATGCCTGAATAACACAAATATAGCTATAACATAGCATGTAATTGGTTTGAGACACAAATGCATGTATTTTATATTCTTTTAATGACAAAATCTAAATCTATTAAACAACAAATTATGAATCAACTGTTAAATGCATATTCAAATGTCTCTTTAAATAATAAGAGTCAGTTAGAAACAATAATGACACATGTGTTGCCATCATTAAAGTATAAAGGCTGAATAAACATTATCCTGCTTGGTATTGTTATTTATGAGTTCATTACTACCCTGAATACTATAAAAAAAATCTCTAACAAATGAGTCACACCAGCATTTTTTGGTTCACTGGTCTTAAGTGTTGTCATTATTTGCTGGCATGTAAGCTGCCGCTAGTTTGAAACTAAAGCTGGGTGTAATTTGCAATATGCCTTTGCATCTTTCTGTGAAGAATTTGAAATGCTTGCAAGACAATATTGAGAGCCCTTTAAATCAAAAGTGGACATTGCCAAATTTAAAGCAAAGTTCTGATGTCCCCAATTTTACACCATTACACACAGCCATATTGGAATTGCTAAATTACACTCCCATATCCAATTCTGATTATTTTTGCCCCCCCCCCCCTCAAATCTTGTTGTTAACCAGACTCTAGACTGTTTATTAAAACTTATTTAATGGTCTTTTTCCTGGAACTAACCAGTACTGGTGTCATATGAGAAGACATGGTCATGACCCTAGTAGAGCTTCAACCCATGATCCCTGGTTTGAGAGGCAGACACATTATATAATAACCACTAGGGCACCACTCCCCTCTAGATTGTTAACTACTCAATATGAATATTGTGATACTGTATGAACAACAGACATAACAAATTACATGAGAAGTTGTGATAAAAATTACATGAGGAGAAGTTATGATATAAAGATTCACAAACCAACACAGTTTACCTATGCATGTCTCACTTTATTAAGCTATTTCAGTTGATATGTTTAATAACAAAGAAAAGGACCGAAATATACCAAACAGACTTCAGAAAGACAAAATGCTAATGAATCTCATTTCAAGTGTACAGGCAGCAGAGCAACATACTATCAGGGGGGAATGTTTTGGATATTCTTGAGAGGTATGGCTTCAAAGGAGTCTAATTTATTGAGAAACTTAAAACAAATTTGTTACTTTTTTACACAACTGTATTGGAAAAAGGTGCCTGTAATTAGTCAAAGTTTAAATAATTATGAAAATTACCTTAAATTGTGCAAGAGATCCAGATCTAAGGTCAGATTCTATATTTCCAGGATCGAGGTATGCTATACTCATCAGAAACCCAGGTCCAGTGAATGCCCATAGCTTCTTAAAGCTGAAACTTGTCTGGAAAAAGAAATAACATAAAACATTGCAAAATTCAGTCAAAAAATTTGACTTCCTATTCATATTAGAAAAAAACATCTGATTTGTTATTTGAAAATCTGAAAATCAAAGTCCCCAGGTATCCCCTGGTTACCGTAGTGTGGGTTGGGGAAAGAGGGTTAAAAAATCTAATGGGGATGTTAACACTGAATGGTGCATAATGAACTTTGTAATAAAAATGGAAGGCAAATTTCAAACTGATTTAGATTGTGCTATTTTTCAATCACAAAATGTACTCTTTTAACTTGGTTAAAGTTTTTATTGCTTTTAAAGTCACACTTTTAATCAAAACTTTACAGATAACTATAAATTAATGTTAATATACTTCTTAGTCATGTTTTATATACTTTATAAATTTTAACAGAATAATGTGATTTTTTTTATATTTTAACTTTATGTTACAATCAAAGTTATGATATTTTACATTTCAATCTAATTTTAATTTCAACTCAGTACTACTGGCATAAATACAGAAATAAGAATACCACATTATTTAATTTCATACATTTACATGCAAAAGTAATGAAACATCTATATATTTAATCATTATATTATGTACATTTATACTTGAATATAATTATGTACATGAATGATGATATATACTATATAACATGCACAAGTGAAAATTCTGGATCAAATCAGCATTTACTTTTGGGACAATTCATTTCCTTCCCATAAATATATTGGCAATCTCCTGGTTTAAACCCCTATGTATTTTTCAGGAGTAAAACTTGTATATATAATACACTAGAGAAAACGGAATGAACCTTATATATACTCCTGGTTTAGACCCCGGGGTCTAATCCAGGATATAGCCAATATATTACTACTATAATAGTACAATGTATATATAATAAATTATTATTAATTACTTTAAGTGGTCACTACCATAATAAGTGTAATTAGAGCTACAGTAGGAGAAAATGTGCAAAAACTGACCCCAAAATCAAAGTTGCAGTACTGTATTTTTAGTTAACAGTATTAGTACAATGTACTCTCTGAACATTGAAATAACAAATATAATGGAATAAAGGTTGCCTAACTAGTGCAAATGTTATCACTTTCCCTAACTCTGTTCTTTCCCTAACTCTGTTGTTTTAGCCTTAAACAGATTTGAAACAAGAACTGCATATCCCTATTCTAGTGTTCTCCTAAGTAAACTGTGATGACCTTAAGTGGCCTTTTAATGAGGTGGTCACTGGCTGAAATTACCTTGTACTGGTCCAAAATTAACAATGAAGGCAGGCCAACTAACTCAATTTGTTATCATTTACCAATATTTAATGCTAAATCATTATTTGGTGAATTACTGTAATGCAGCCTGTATTGACTTTAATGCAAGGACAAAATATCACTACCGGTATTTAAATACATGTATTATACTGACTTAGGTAACTTATTACTTAATAATTTACATTCTCCTTAATTAATTTTGATTAAGTCTCCAGCTTGTAAAATTGATAAAGCAATGCACAATACCTAATGGTATAATTGAAATATAAAGTTTGCTATTCAATTCATAAAATGACTGACTTTTATATAATATATAAATACTTACATTTTCTGTTTTTGGAATATGAATTTTTTCATCAAAGTATGTAGATGGTCTAGAAGTTAGTGTATGTTTGTTAGAGTCATCCTGATCTCCATCACTAGCCTCAGAGGAATGATGCCCAGACAGTTCCTCGATAGGGTGAGATTCTGCATTCTCCATTTAGGGCACAACTTGTCTGGCCGAGATACAGTTCTGAAATATTATAGAGTTAATAATTATGGGCCTTAAGTAAAATATTAATCATTTCTAACATTCTATTGACTAATCCAAGTTCCTATGTGTGTCTGAAATTGTGTTTCAGAGCTAGTAATGTTTTTGTTCACAGGATTTTTTTTTTTTCAAATTTTTGAAAAGCCATCAACACTGTTGGTTTAGGGAAAATTGTGTTGTAAAAGGTAAAAATTGGGAATTTTATAGAAACTAATTTCTACTACTGAACACATAACAATTCATGCAGTTTCTCAGTCTATTGATAACCATTTGATTCCTTTTTCTTATATAAGTTATTTCGAGGACTTCCATTTAAAACAAAATCCTTTTTTTGATAGAGAAAATCAAAAACATTTACATCAATGTGTACTGGTGCTAAATCTTTTAGGCAAGAACTTTACTTCAGTGTCTAGTAAACTAGATTTTGCACCAGCATTTGGAGAAAAACTGATATTTCCTTTGATGAGGTCATTTTGGAAGAAGTTGTAAATTCTTATGTTAATTCTTACGTTACTGTAACAAAATAGTAATTGATGAAATGACATTGACTTCCACGAAAAATTAATTCACATTGAGATAAATGGTAAAATCCTTCAAAATATGATAGAATATGCGAGTAAAAATATCTGACATGATTGTATTTGCAGCTCAGATTAGAATCTATCTATCTCTCAAATACCCAAAGAGGCAAAATATACCTCTAGATAATTTTCCTTAAAAAAAAAAAAAACAATTACAGAAAACACTTTTCAATCTCCCTATAAATTTTCAAAAACAATACATATGCCTAAAATTTCATCTGGCACCCCAATTGTGTGTTTTAAATGACATCATTTAAAGCATTTATATATGAGTGAAGTATGTTAAAATGATGTTATTTCTGCAAATTTTAGAATACAACTATAAGCCTAAGAGGTAAGAGGACATCATTTTGCTGTTATGAAAGAAGAACGTTAATTATGTTACTGTAATAAAATAGTAATAGATGAATGACATTAATTTCCAGAAAGCTAATTTATTGAGGTAAAACATTTAAAAAACATGGTAAAACATGCAAGCAAAATATCGGACATGTATTAGCAGTTCACGTTGGAATATCCATCCCTCAAATACCCATCAGTTATCTGAACTCTGTTAAGAAATAAACCTAGATAATTTTCCTTGAAAAAGAAAAAAAAAGACAATTGCAGAAAAGCACTGTTAAATCTCCCTATAAATTTTCAAAAACAGTACATTAATGAAACTGAATTGATTGGAAATAAAAGCATGATAAAGTTATCTGTTTTTATTATGTTGTTGGGCTTTTCAGCTCAATTTATATTTTCTCAACATCAATCCAATTACATGTATCTTTAACTCAGTAATTAGTAGCATTAAAACTAAAAGTAAATATTATTCACTTAACTTGAAAGCAATAGTTTACATCCCAATATAATTGCAATAAATACTGTACTGCTTAAGGATATAATATATCATAGACATACTATTATTAAACAGTTTAATAATATAACTTTTAATTAATCTCCATGATTATGGCTTAAGAAGTTAGGGTAAGATATCTTTAGGACGATCCATGTCGGATGATAACTATTTTTAACTCGTCTTATAATTCAATTCATAAAAGTCTTAAAAATACTTACTTTATGTTTTCTTACTTTTAATCAATCCTAAAACAATAGCTTCTGCTTGAAATATAAAATACGCGATCTAAAATACGTCGTCGTACAAATGGTGTAAATGTTTCAAAGGGAAATAACTGAATCACTGAAAATGACCAATAAGGAATCGTAACGGTAAGGTAAATTATTTAGACTCGTACAAGTTCCGGTGAACTGTCATTTGGCGGGGAAAATTGTCATTAGCACTTTGGACTGTTACGAAGATGAGGCGTTTATTACTAATTTCAAACTCTACACTTCATGGAAGTGGATATCTAGACCACTGTAAAGATCAAATAAAGTCGTTTTTGACAGAGTATGTATTTTACTCGGCTGAAAATTATTGAAAAATACTTATTTATACCAAAGAGATGTGCAATTTTTGCAATCAATTTTCAACTTTCAGTTTTAAAGCAGCAACATTTATCAGACAGCTGATTAGTCCAACATTAGCTATTTTGTGTATTGGCAATATCTACCCTCTAGTATTGGGATTCTGACCCAGAACAAAAAAATCGCATTACCTTTTTTTAATAATTGTGTTAAAATTATTTTACTAATTAGCCAATTAAGAATATCTTGGAATTTTTAAACCACAGATATCTAGCATACTGGTTAAAATTATTTACTGGCTATAAAGGAAAAAAGTTCCTAAAGTTGATTTTTTAAAATCAGTTATTTCATGAAATAACAGGACTTCTATTATTTCATGAAATACTGTTTCATGAAATACCTGAAATGTTCAGGTAATTGTTTTATGAAATAACTGATTTCACAACTTTACTGACTTGTACATGTTAATTAATGATATAAAGTAATTTTGTCTTTATTTATTAAAGGGAGATGATTTTATGATATTATTATCATTATTGACCAGAGGAATTTACCAACTGCCTGTGCATTTGGCCAGGGATATAATTGTACATGTATCCCTGATTTGCAGATAGCTAAGTGTATTGTTTTATGATACATGTGTTCATTTGGTTTGATATACTATATGATTAGATTGAATTCTGAATGGAAACTACACTTGTATGGAACTTACTATAATCTCTTCCAGGAAATAATGCAATGCATGAAATATTAAAAATATTAATGGGCCAGTGAAAGTTTTTGTGAAAGTTTAAAAAACTGTTACCTTATGTGACTGAAAAAAACAACAACAAAAAAACAAGACCCGCTTACAAGTTATAAATTAATAAAATAAAAACTAAGGTGAAAGTTAATATTATTATTCTGTAATAAGTGCAAGATAAATTCCTCTGCAAGAAGAATAATGGAGCTCTGATATTTTGTAAACCATAGTATTTGTCAGACAGACTGCCTCTTGCTCACCAATTGATACTTCATATAGAACCAAAAATTTAGCATGTGATTAAAACAATGCCAGATAATAATTGTGTTACATATTTTTTTTATGTGATGAAAATTTATGATTTAATGTTACATTTCAGTAAAGTGAAAACTGTGTTGTTTGTACCATATGCTCTACATGATCGGGATCAGTATGCAAGTATTGCAAGAACAGCCTATAATTCTATAGGTACAGTACAAGTACATACTAAGTTGTTTCTGTCATTTTAAAGAGTCAGACATTATGCATCAAAATGATTTTTTTCTTAGGAAAAGGAAAACATAATGTTCTGACCTTCTATTGTGCCTTATTAGCAAAATTAAGAAAAAAATATTAACTTTAGTTAAAAAAGACAATAGAATCCAAGTAGAATTATTTAAAATTGATGCATGTATGGTATATACGAGGGGTTATCCAAAAATTCGTGGACTTTTTTTGTTGCGTAAAATATATTTGAGATATTAATTTAAAATTCCTACACTGCTTAGAAGAATTAATAACAAATAAACACAGAAAAATTCATGTGAGTAGCTTCAAAAATTACAACAATATTAAATTTTACATAAACACATGTCTGCGACAGCGGCGCACTCCAAAATGTTATTGACGTCAACGTCATAATATTAACGTACAACTTGTGCTTCAACGTTACGCAGTCAATGACGGTTACTGCTTCTCAAGGTAATGTCCATCACTAAAATTATTATGCCACTTTAACAATAAATGATCGTAAAATTTTCTTTTCTCTGTTCGTCTGCTGATTTCTATTAATGTTTTTGTAGGTGTCATTTTCAAATTACAACAAAAATTTATGATTATTTACGATCGTGCGATTTTCTAATTACCGCGTGTCAGTCATTTTCCCGTTGTAAACAATAAAGGCGTCTGGCGTTTCTAGTGATATCAACAAAAATAAACGGAAATGACGTTCATTATTTTAAAAAATTACTTAAATGACATCATAGAAGAAACATGCGATGCTTAGCGGTTTTTCTACGTTAAGTTTTTAATTTTTTAGCAAGAAATATCCGATGACTTACTGCGCTTTTCTACCGTGCGCCGGGTGCCGTGTATGTGCTAATTTAAAAGCAATATAAAATCATTATTTATAGACACAATTAACTGTTCCTTTCAAAATGTGTTGATAATATTCTAAAATGTATGCTGATAAATTTTCATTACAATACACGTTGGCGTTGAAGAGATATTTAAAAAGTCCACGAATTTTTGGATAACCCCTTGTATATTAACATGGTCTCAAGTAAAGTTATATAGGAATGTTGTAGGTTTAATAAGCTTATAAAATATTAGTATTAAAGCTTAGTAAAAGTAGCATCATAAAATATATTTCAGGTTTCAACTTAGAAAGTATACATGAGAAACCTAATGCTGTGGATGCTGTAAGACAAGCTGAGGCAATATTTATAGGTTAATTATAACTATATAGCTTACTTGGTAATCATATGAAAATAAAACAATAAATATAGTGATAATGTCTTAAAGTAATGTATCATTTATATTGTAAGTTGTCTTCTTAAAGTATTGCAGAAATAAATTCTCTTTCTTGTGTCCCTTGTGCTTTTGTAATCTATTGATAAATTGTTGTATTTTGTCCGTGATTGTTTTCTTGTTTGTCTGTCTGTCTGCAGGCGAAATTGACTTTTAGCCAATACCCATCAAATAACATCATTCTCATGCTAGGACAATCACATTAAGACATGATGTTCCTTGGACTAGTGTTTTTTCACAATATATTCCTGGATTAGAGCTCTATTTCATACTTGCAAACAATGTTTCTTGGAATGACTGTTGTTTCAAACTTGGATGCAATGTGCTTTATCATGACTTACTTTTGACCTTGACCTGTCATTGACCTTAACGTGTAATGTCAAATTTTAAAAATACTGGAAATTTCAGCTAAACATAGCTGTGTTGTTTTATACACACATTTTTTTATAGAATGAATTATTATTTTGTTTAGAATGAGTAGTTATTTTAAAAAGTGGGATATATTTGATCATTTGTTGGCATTCACATGGAAGGACATTGGTGACAGTATTATTTTTTCAAGCAGTTGCATATAGTCATTATAGTGACTGCCTTAACCTCCAGAATTTGTATTTGTGATTTCTTTTATCAGGCTAGATAATCATTTATAAACCATCTGTCTAAATACTGCAGGTTTTATAGATTGTATTGACCATGCTTAAAATAATACTTGTATCAGTTTTTGTAATAACAAAACTCTTTGTATTTACTATATGATTACAGGTGGTGGGAACACATTCCGTTTGCTTAAAACTTTGTATGATGAAAACATAGTTGATGAAATCCGCAAACGAGTGTTTGAAGACAGTATGCCGTATATCGGTTCCAGCGCTGGCTCTAATGTGGCCACCGTCAGCATCAACACGACCAATGATATGCCGATTGTGTATCCACCCTCATTTAAAGCTCTAGGATTGGTTCCCTTTAATATTAACGCCCATTACCAAGATCCTGATCCCAACAGTAAACATATGGGGGTAAGTTTAAGGTTTCATTGACAAATGAGTTAGTTATATTTGAATGAAACATTGAGCAGGTCTTTATTAATGGCTCACATTTTAAGTAAACTGAACATAGACTACATGAAGTAATTTTAGACATAAACCACTCATTAATTTTGCGACATTTGATGGAAGTAAATCATCTAGAATGCTGACTTTAATTTGCCAAACTTAGGTATTAGTCTGGTGACTTCCAGTGTCTATGTATTTCATTATTTCATATACAAAAAAGAATTAAGGTTTGTATAGTTCAAGTTAGGCACATTAAATTTTGTTCAAAGAAATAAATTTTCAGGTGTATATGTACAGTCAAACCTGTTATAAAGACCATCATAAGGAAATACAAGTGGTTTTTATGTGAGATGTACTCTGTTCAACTAAATTAGTGAACAGTTGTTGAAATAATTATGGTCTTTATTCACAGGGGATGTTTAACACAGGTTTGACACAGTTACCACAATAGAAATTTTACTTTATTTTAATAAGATTGATTTTGATTATTTTGATTAATATATTGCCATGACATTTAAATATTTTTGGGCATCCATGGCAAAGTTGTTTAGGTTATTAACTTTGAACAGTATGCCACTCACCACAGTGGTTTTAAATCCTGCAAAGGGCATTGGATTCTTTCATGTGAAGAAGGTTAGTATACTTCAGCTATAGCTCATTGGTTCTACTCAGGCTGCCACTTGTGTCTAAAATTATGCACAATTTCTAAGGAAACCTGAGATGTTCCTCCAGAAGTAAAGCTGAAATGTCACCAAATCATGACCTTGCTTAAACCAGGTGAAAATGAAAAACTTATGTTAAATACAAAGCTGGTTTGTCTTAAAATAGAAAAATTTCATTTTAGGAGACAAGGGAGCAAAGGATCAATCAGTATCATGAATATGAGGACTCACCTTCTGTATTAGTAAGTTGTTTACATCATATTACTATATATCTGAGTTTGTATTCTTAGTGTAGTTGAAAGATCATCATGTATACTTGCTGTGCATTATATACAACATAAAGAAGGAGTTACAGAAGTTTTTGATGTACTTATCTGTGCATCAGCATCATACTTTGGATAAGTTTTTGCATTCAAGTTGATATCTCCAAAACTATTGACCAGAATGTGTGTTGAAACTTCACAAATTTATTTGAGAGCATAATAAGAGGTCATGGTACAACATGTACAAGGCCATTAGCTCTAACATGGATTTTTGACATAATAATGGCCCTTTTTGAACTAAGAAAATTCTACATTATCCAGGTTCTTTTACTGTCAAGCACTGAGAATAATAATATCTGTCATATGTTGCGGTTCGGACCGGAATATCCGTCCCGAGGGGACCCGCCCATTGGACGGTAACAAGGCTTGCCGAGTTACAGCCCATGGGCGGGTACCCGAGGGACGGATATTCCGATCCGAAATGCAAACATATGTCAGATATTTTTTCTTGCATATTCTGCCATATTATTTTATATTTAAAATGGTTTACCTCAATATGATATTATGTTCATTGAAATTAAAGTCTTTTTTATTCCTAACTATTTTCTTACAATAGCGTATGAACTTACAACTTAAATAACAACGACGAAATGACATCATCCTAAGCACATATTTCCCTTCTAAAATGACGTCATTTTAATGCGTTTCTTTTATAAAGTGCTAAAATGACGTTGTATGACACGCGACTCATCTGGCATCCCCCATGCCAGATGAAATTTCCGGCATGGGTAAAACTCACGGAAACGCCAGTCTGCTATGCAAGAATTGTCAAGAAAGCACATTAATAAGACAATTTAATTTTCTCTACAACAAAGAATCAAAGTATTTAACAAGACTTAGATAGAAGAAATTAATTTATTACCTATAGGCTGAATGAAAAATGTATCCATATCTAAGGACTAATGTGCCTTTAAATGAGTAAGTATATTTCATTGTTAATGCAATGGAAACATTACAGTGATAGAATTTTGGCTATCAACTGTCTCTGACAATGATGCCTCACCTGAGGACCGAACCAGCCACCCATGGATTACTCATCCATTGCTCTCCCTATTGAATAAATGGGCATAGACAATAATGACTACTGAAGTAAAATAAAGATTAGATTTGGCAGAAAATTAAACATTATACTAAAGTAATGGTAAAGCAAAGCTAAAAACCTTACTTAGATAAATTTGTCATACTTTGTATTTTAGGGGATAAGAGAAGGTTGTATCCTGCATGTGGAGGGAGACAAAGCCACTCTGAAAGGTGTTACAAATGCAAGACTCTTTGAGAGGTAAACATCATGATCTATTTCTATATTTTATTTTATATATTTAGTCACATATTTCCTGTTAAACTAGTTTTTGCTAGTGAATTTTATAAATGCACAGAATGTAATGTTAAAGAGCCATGAAGCCTCAAAAATGGTAATAATTTGTTTTTCAAAAACGTTTTGTTTTTAATGTCATTTAACAGTGTCGAAGAAGTTATTCATTGGCTCTTTAAGTTAACAATCTTTTGCTACCTTTATGTGTTAGCAATTGTGTTTAACCATTAGTATAGAAATCAAATACCACTTTGTTTACATTTTGCTACCTTTATCAGGAATCATTTTAGATTTAACGCTATTATAACTCAAGGTGATGAACATGTAAAATGTTCGGAATCCATAATAACAATAATTTAAAATACATTTTTGCCTATGTCACCTGTGTAACATTAGGCCAGTCTCTTCACACTCAGGGACTTTGGATTCCTTCATGTGAGGAAGCTATATATGTATAAAATGCTACTTGTTTAAATGTAAGGAAATTATTTAAAAAAATTTTTTCTCTCTATTTTTTGCCTACTTTATAATAAAGCCAATATTTGGTTAAATTCATTTTGGACATATAACATGTTTGTCCAGTTCTTGAACAAAATGTCTCAACTTAAAACTTTCATAAAATAGCATTATTATCCAGAACAGTAAGTGAAAACTAACTAAAAGCAAATCAACCCGCTAAAGACTATGTAGATTTGCATTGGTCTACAATATCATTACAAAAATATAGTATTACATTTTTTTCCCCCAATTTTGGGCAAAGCATTGCAAAATTCCCAATCTCTAAAGGATAGGTCATGTTCATAAAAGAATGAAAATTATGAAACTTGAAATTTGAACACAAAATTTACAATTCAGGCATTGAAAGCTTTTGACATTTCCAATTATTTTTGAATGTTGTTTACTGTATATAATAAGCATGACAGATTTTCTGACTTTATTTTTCAGAGAAAAGGAGCCTGTTGAGTATGACAGTGGATCAGACATGAGCTTTCTACTGAAAGTATAAAAACATTGACTATGTGGTTTGGTCATTTCTCATCCAGCTGATGATGTATTGACTAAGAAATCTGTACAACAGCTCTTACTTAAAGTGTATAAAGCTTATATATATATATATATATCAGATGCAAAAATTATTGTTTGTATTTTAAAAAAAAAACACTTCAGAAATGTTTGTATGAAATAAAAATGGCAATAAACTGCCTTAAAGCGAGTGGTGCATGCACAGTCAAACCCTACTTAAAATAGCAATATAATATTTTGTTTCAGAATATTTTATTTTGTACATCTTTTATGTTTTAAATAACAGAGACATTCTATGTTACAACTTTTTCTGGAATCAACCATATAATAATGGAACCAATATAATTTTACTTTTAAAGATATTTCATAAGATATAGATTTATACCCTTTAATGAGTGAAGAAATATGCTTATGCTTTAATACATAATGTGCAATTTTCCAGCAGAATATATATTCTATTGTTATATCTCCAATGATTGTAGCTAGTAAAAGAGGTCAGGTATTACACTGTTTAAATCAGAGTTTTAAATGTAAGTGTTTTAGAATAGATATAAAACTATTAACATGTAAAAGTTAAAATTAAATTGTTGAATTATTTTATTGTTAATAAATAAGTGACTGATTGATTGAAAACCATGGAACAAACAATACAACAAAATCATGGTTTTTTAGGGACTTTCCAGTCCTGGTTTGATGATTGTCCAGTTTTAGTGGTCCCAATCCTAGTTGTAAGTGAAACTAGAAGATTCATTTCATTCATTCATAGAATTGTTTATTTGTTAGGGGTGACATATATGGACCAATTACATATAATTATGTCAATGCAAAGGAATAACTTGAGCTTGACTATTCAAAGAATGGTGTGGCTTATTTTCCTACTAACCTTTGTGTCGGTGAAACACTTTTTTAGGGTCTATATTAGGCCCTTTACTCTTCACTTTTTACATGTGACTTTTTGTACAACTTTTTATCTCATCAACCACTAAAGATATTTGCTTGTAACTTCAGGCATGGCTTTGAGATATAATTGGAGGTCAATGTCAAAATCAATTAACTTTTGCATGGAAATTTACTGACTAATGACCCCTTGTGAACTTCAAATATTCCTCATTAAAGTTTTTTGCACATTATGGATCTTCAAACTAATGAAGATATTCAATTGAATATAATTATGTCTTCAGGATCATAATTTGTCAGTAATTTACTTTATTTTAAGTATGTCCTAGTTTTTTAGCTCACCTGTCACACAGTGACAGGGTGAGCTTTTGTGATCGCTTTTCATCCGTCGTCCGTCCGTCGTCCGTCCGTAAACTTTTACTTTAAATGACATCTCCTCATAAACCACTAAGCCAATTTCATCCAAACTTCACAGGAATGTTCCTTTGGTGGTCACCTTTAAAATTGTTCAAAGAATTTAATTCCATGCAGAACTCTGGTTGCCATGGCAACCAAAAGAAAAAACTTTAAATATCTTCTTTTAAAAAACCATAAGAGCTAGAGCTTAGATATTTGGCATGAAACATCTTATAGTGAGTGTCTACCAAGTTTGTTCAAATAAAAGGCCTGGGGTCAAAATTGGCCCCGCCCCGGGGGGTCATTGATTTTCCCTATATGCATATAGTAAAAACTTAAAAAATCTTCTTTTAAAGAACGCAAAGAGCTAGAGCTAAGATATTTAGCATCAAACATGTTCTAATAGGTGTCTACCAAGTTTGTTCAAATAAAAGCCCTGGGGTCAAAATTGCCCCGCCCCAGGGGGTCATTGATTTTCCCTATATGCATATAGTAAAAACTTAAAAAAATCTTCTTTTAAAGAACCAAAAGAGTTAGAGCTAAGATACTTAGCATGAAACATGTTCTAATAAGTGTCTACCAAGTTTGTTCAAATAAAAGCCCTGGGGTCAAAATTGGCCCTGCCCCGGGGGGTCATTGATTTTCCCTATATGCATATAGTAAAAACTTAAAAAATCTTCTTTTAAAGAACTCAAAGAGCTATGGCTAAGATATTTAGCATCAAACATCTTTTAGTGAGTGTCTACAAAGTTTGTTCAAATAAAAGACCTGGGGTCAAAATTGGCCCCACCCCGTGGGTCATTGATTTTCTTTATATGTGTATAGCAAAAACTTAAAATCTTCTTTGAAAAAACCCAAATAGCTAGAGTTTAGAATTTAAGCATGAAACATCTTCTAGTAAGTGTCTACAAAGTTTGTTCAAATAAAAGCCCTGGGGTCAAAACTGGCCCGGCCCCAGGGGTGTCATTGTTTTTAACTATATGTGTATATAAAAAACTTTAAAAAAATCTTCTTTTAAAAAGCCCAATGAGCAAGAGCTTAGATGTTTAGCATGAAACATCTTCTTATGGGTGTCTACCAAGTTTGTGCAAATAAAAGCCCTGCAACGATGGGGGGGGGGGGGGGGTTGGGGGCCTATATACAGGTGAGCGACCTCAGGGCCATCATGGCCCTCTTGTTTTATTGATCTTCCTGTTTTGTTAGTTCCTACATTGTCCGGGCTCTTGTTTTAAGCACAATAACTCTTGTTATAATTTTACAACATATTTTTGGAAGTATTTTCTTGTGATGACAAAACATGTGTCTATATGCAATCAATCATTTTCCTTAGGTTGATAAGGTTGATATTAATTTTTATTTTGTACATTAACAATAATGTAGAAATATATATTTATGTATATATATGTTTTTGTTATATTTTTGTTAAAAGCCCTTATGTCAAAATTAGCTCCACCCCAGGGGATCATTGATTTTTCTTATATGTATATAACTTAAAAGATCTTCTTAAACGCCCAAAGACCTTAGATATTTAGCATGAAACATCTTCTAGTGGGTGTCTACCAAGTTTGTTCATATAGTAAAAACAAAACAAAACCTTCTTTAATTATACTATAAAGGATTTAGCTTAGATATTTGGTATGAAACACTGTCTGGTGGACCTCTACAAAAATTGTTGAAATTATAGCCCTTAGGTCAAGATTTGCCCCACTTGGAGGAACATAGATTTTCCTTATATATTTGTATTTATATAGTAAAAACTTTAAAACAATTTCTTCTCTCAAACTACAAGAGTTTAAGCTTAGTCTTGTTGCATGAAACATTATTTAGCAGTACACGTAGTGTGTTCAAATTATAGCCCTTGGATAAAAATTGCCCGGTCCCAGGGTCGGGCTTTTCCTGATATTGTAAATTCTTCAAAAATCTCCTTGAAAACTACAAGGGCTCTACCTTATGGTATTTAACATGAAACATAGGTGAGCTTCTGTTAAAAAATATTCAAATTATCGCCCTAGAGTGAAAATTGGCCCCTTTCTTCTCTAAGCAACCAGTGACTTTTCAAAGAAACCATTGACTCCAATAGTGACCATTGACTTTCAATAGCAACCATACATTTCAAAAGCAACCAGTGACTTTTAATTACAACCACTGACTTCCATAGCAGCAAGTTACTTCTCATAGCAACCTGTGACTTTACATGACAGCCAGCGACTTTTCAATGGCTGTTTTCATTAAAAAGCCTTTTGTTACAAGTTCAAACTGCTTTGACACTATAAAAAAGCTCAATTACTGATCAAACCGAGCACAAATGTTAACTGGACCATAGCCTTTGTAACAGCATGCTCAATCTTAAATTTTCATGTACCATGGCAAGGGGTGGGGGAGGGGGGCAACTCAGATTGCCAAAAATCACTATTTTGCCTTGAGTTTTTCCATCAATGATTTCAAAGTGCTGCAAATTCTCAATGGATTAAGATAGAGTCAAAGGCTTTTCAATGTTGGTTACACATTCCATTAAGATTGACCTTTAGCCATTTTTATCCTTTTATTTTATGCATGAAATTGCAGACCATACATGTAAGCAGCCATAACTACATAGATTGGATTATCTACATGAATGACAGCATTGATGCGTATTACTGCCTTTTTGTGGC